CTGGTTTAACGTTTATTTATTTGTTTTTAATTTTAAACTATAAATAAGTATTTTATGGTCTAATTGCGCTTGGTAGTTGAATTTGAAAAATTCTCATTTGTAATTCTTAAAATTATATAATATCGAGTGACGATATGCTAATTTTTTTTTAATTTTTACTTTCCTGGCTGTTATACATAACAGAGAGAAAGTATGGTGATCCGTCAAAAAAATGACTCCCAAAATTTTTACATTTTTGGACTGGGGACACCTTGAAACGTCGAGAAATACAGAAAAAAAATTCCCCAAATGTTTTTGCATGTATGGTATGCATGTGTGTGGTGGGCACGATTTTGTTCAGCCTGTTTGAAGCTTATTAACTTCTGTGCTTTTTGTTGCAAATTTCTGAAATTTTGCAGGGAGGTTTGCTCATTAGGGGATAGATGCTATTAAATTTTGATGGTTAAAGGTCGAATGAATGGGAAGATAATGAGGGGCGTGTGTATCTCTAATAGGGTCGGACTTAATGACGTTTATTCTCGTTATTAGCACTTATAATTTTTTTTATGAAAACCATCCCTAGCCTCAAAATTAAGCTTCTTGCCATTTTATAATAATTAATAATATAAAACATTACACCGAGTTTATCACACCGAGTGTCCAATCTAACACATTTTAAAAATTCTTNCGAATGAATGGGAAGATAATGAGGGGCGTGTGTATCTCTAATAGGGTCGGACTTAATAGCAAGTAAAATCGTCATTAACATTTACAATTTTTTTATAAAACTCATCCCTAGCCTCAAAATTAAGCTTCTTGCCATTTTATAATAATTAAAAAACATAAAAAGCTTTTTTTTTTAAATATGGTCACAGATGGCGCCACCAAATGTCGCCGGAAAAGTTAAAGAACTCGTTATAATTTTAAAAAATCCAGCAATTATTTTATAAAATATTTCATTAAATTTTTAAAAAATTTCAATAAACACAAACGGAATCGTCTGTGAAAAGTTTAAATGTTTAAATTTTTGGAGTTTTAAGTTGGAGTAAATTATTATTTTTTTACTTGGTTTTCGAATTTTCTTGAGTAAAACGTATTGCTTAATATTTAAATTGCTTTCCGATCATTATTATTCTGAATTATGTGCTAATTATGCGTTCGTTTATTCATACTCGAGTTTGCCAGATAGAGGTGTCAGCCTGCCTCTATAAGGACCCGAGTTCGTGTCCATATTGGAAAATTTAGGAATGCCTATAGGAAGTCCTAGTAGTGAGGAATGTCCTTCCTCACTACTGAGTCACCCTCTATTGTGGATTCTAAAAAGAATTATCGTGGATTCTGATCAATTAAGCAAGCAGTCACAAGACAAAAGGCGTAAAAGGCGTAAAAGTTGGCATATTTATGTAATCTCAAATTTTATTGGTTTGGTTAATTTGGTTACGGCACGTGACAAGAGGGCAATCTGCCGAGGAACTTTCTATGGGAAACTGGCCCCCATTTAGATGTTACTAACGTGAAGAAAACCCGGAAAACTCCACGTGGTCAGTCCATTGGCCAGGCGAACCACGATCCACTATGAATTACGGGTGTTCAGTGCCATTGGTGGGCTCTCAGGTTTTATTAACTCGTTTCTTTAAACGATTAGGGTCAATTTATCTTCTCTTTAAGAAAAGTATGTTTAATTCTAAATGTACTTTTAACTCCTTTTTCCATGCGAGCAATAATAGGATCTTTTTCGTATCACCATGGGTTCGTTCGGGTCACGGGTGACGAGGAAAGGGCTCCATATACAGAGAAATATGAAAATTTGAAAACCTATCAGAGTACTCGTGCATTGGTGTCTTTATTGGTTGCTGTTTTCCAACAAGGAGCTGGTTCGTGTTCAACAGACTGCGTTCGTTTACAGATTTGCAATATGACATTTGTAATTGTGTAATATTTAATTTTCATTACAAATTTATCATTTATACTTAAAAAAAGTTGTGATTAATCGCTCATTAAAAATGCATCCGGATAAACTTTATTCTACAGTAGAAAAATACTAATTATTTTTAAATAGGCATGAAATGTTGCGCCATCTGATGTCATGGTTTTTAAATAAAATTACAATTAGTGTATATTATTTTTCGTGGAGTCTGTCCCCATTCTTCATTACCGGCATCTTATTGTGAGCTTATAAAGGGTCTTCTTACTGCCCAGGGCGAAAAAAGTAAAAAAAAGGGCTATAAAGTCAGGGAAGCCTCAGTTTGCCCATTTCCTGGTCGTTTAACAGTCCAATTTGTGCCACGTGTTAATTATTTTTGTCTCATTTAACGTATCCGTGTCAGTAACTGATACTTTCTATAGAAATATTGATGTGAAACACGTACGATTTCTTAAACTTATTCTGGTTTCGATTTGGATTATTTCTTTTAAATTTATTGTTCTAAAATATGGCATGTCGCATGTTTAGTTGAGATTAAATGGAGGCCGGATATCTGAGCGATTTGCATGGCAGCCTACCAAATACGGAAAAATCCCAGGAATTTTTCGAGTAGTCAGGATACTTCGGACCCTTTCCTCACCCTGACCTGGATTGTCATGGTTCGGCCACAAGAAAATCCACAAAAGTACTTTGGTGCAAATGATTGTTACTTCTTTACACTATACTGTCTTATTATTATATATTATAGTTTGTATATATACTCATTTCTATATGATATGTATCATCTATATCATCTTTGCACTTCTGCTGTCCGTTTCTTTTATAATTTGTTAACTTGCACTTAATTGTTGTGATTCTAATTTTATTTTATCTTCGTTACTTTTAATTTTACTGTATAATGCGGCCCAATAAACGTGTAAACAAAACCGAAAAATTTAAAAAATTTTATTTAATTCAAGGCATAAACTCAAAAAAGAAGTTTTACAAAGCCGTAAACCTTTATTCATATTTTATTTTTGAGTGAAAAGGAAATATTTTCAAATACTTGGAGACGTGTGAATGAGGAAGGATTAGTAAATAAAGTTGGGAGTTGTGACTCAAAAGATTATCGACCCAAATTTGGGGAAAGGAGGAAAAGGAGAGAAAGGACAAAAGATAAAAAGTAGTGAGAAAGGTTAAATAGATCTTCTGTTATGCAAATATTGACCCTTAATTTTCCAACCTTCCTCACTTTTGTCCGCATTTGGGTCTATAATCCTTTAAGTCACAACTCCAGCTTTATTTAGTATTCTTCCAGCGTTGCAAGATTTGGCTACATTGCGCCAAATGTGGCTACGTATTATTTATACATTAGTTGAATAAAAATGCACTTTAAAATGGTATTTCGTCGCTTTTTATTAATTAGAGACTCAAATAAAACAAATATTTGTTTTTCAAATAAATTCATTTATTATAGAAATAAAAGACAAATGGAGAGACTTAGATAAATTTTCGTCTATGAGTACACCTTTATTCTCCCAGTTCATTGATTGAAAAACACTAATACATTTGTAAAAGTTTTGGGGAGATACCAACGATATTATTGCTTCAAGATACTATCACCTTAAAAGGTGATAGTATCTTGAAGCAAGCGAACTGTTGCGCTTACCCCAAATGGAGACCATCTGACCCATCTTCAATTTGCTGACGACGTAACCATGATTACAGATAGCCCTTCAGATCTCCAGGACATGATTCAAGAACTTGCAAAAGTAAAGAAGTTGATTTAAAGATGAACTTGAACAAGGCGAAAATTATGTAAAACAGTTTCGTATGTGAAGAAACACTACTAGTAGATATGGAATTGGAAAAAGATAGAGGCTTACATTTACCTGGGACAAAGAATATCAATGGATGGCAACATCAAGGAGGAAAAACAGGCGTGTAAAACTTGGCTGGTGCGCTTTTGGTAGGAATAATATAGTCTTGAAAAATCAACTGATGTCCCTGTGCCTGAAACGCAAGGTATCAGTGTATCTTGCAGTTCTCACTTATGGATCAGTGTATCTTGCAGTTCTCACTTATGGATCAGAAACTTGGACTCTTAGAAAAATCAGATCCAAAGACTACCCAAAGGAACATGGAAAGGTGTATGCTTGTCATAACAAGGAGAGATCAGAAACGTAACATGAATCAGGAAAGACATGAGTTAGATGATATCGCTAGAGTAAAATCCCTCAAGTGGCAGTGGACTGAACATATTGCAAGAAGAACTGACCATCGCTGGACATCTGAAGTTCTTGATTGGATACCAAGAGATCGAAAACGACCAAGAAGACGTCCTCACCCTCGGTGGGTTGAGGAGATCAAGAGGCATCTTGGTACAACATGGAAGCGAAGTGATCAACACAAAAGATTGTGGAAGAGGCTTGGGGAGACCGTCATTTTGCAGTGGATTGATAACGGTTGAGGATCTATTTATACGTAAAAATTGAAAGTGTCTGTAGAAAATTTAAAATTGTTTTAGTACTGATTATAATCTAGACATGTTAATCCTTAAATATTGGGCTACAAGTATAGCCTATATTATATATATATATGGCCCAAAACTACTTAACTTCTTCCAATGCGGCCCAGAGAAACAAAAAGGTTGGACACCCCTGCTTTAAATCATTTGGCAACACTGTTGCCAACTTTTTTCGGGAATTGTAAACGATCCTAAGAACTATTTCGTAAGATTTAGTTCCTCTTCGTCTGTACCCGACTACTATGTCTTCTTTAATGTCAAAAGTAACTAATGTTACCTACAGGTTTGAGGTAGTTTCCTGTATAAGCCATAACGAAATGTGCGCTCGTGCTGAGAGAAGCTATCCTAGTCTATAGGAGACTAGGCGACTTTTTACTAACTCACACCGAGTTGTTTAAAAAAGGATTGGTCGGCGGGCACAACGGAAAGCCGTATTCCTATGAATTGGACAGCTGTCCAGGGAGTACTGAAAGTTGTTAAATCTGCGTTTAGTCAATTTATGTAAGCCGTAACTTCAGATCACGAGCAAGATTAGGCCGCGAAGTACACGCAGAAATGAGAAGTTAGATGAGTTTAAACAAAGCTTTTAATTGCAACAAGTATTATAAAATATACAGTGAATATAAACTACTAAAAGCCAAAAATCAAAAAAGCACAAGTTAAACCCGTTAGACAATATATACATAGTGAAAAAAGTTATATAAATGCATCACTTCGTTGAGTTACAATTAAGAAGGTCTCTTTATAGGAGATGCCCGTTCGGAGATCTGTCCAGTTCATTATCAAGGGTGCGCCATTTCTTGTAACTACCATTAACTTCCTGCGATGAAAAAATAATTTGATAATTATAACCAAGTTCGTCATATTACGAGATAAATTCACACTTACCGTCTTGTTATATAAATCGCTCTCTGTTGGCCTAGTTTTTTCTATGGGATCGGAGTACTCCGAATCTATAATTAGAGGTTCCTCCTTTTGCAAAAAGGAATGCCTGAAGGAGACGATTATGTTGCGTCCACGATTACGAATTCTTGTCCTAGGGAAGAAGAGACTTGATTATGTAGCCTAAAAGCAAAAGCAGATACCGTAAACTAATATCTTACTTGTCCTTCAGACACAAATAAGTGAAGGCGATAATGACAACTACGAGAATAATGCCAATGACAGCTCCAGCAATCCATCCATTTGCACTTTCTTCGATATTTGCTGTCATGCTTTGAATTTCGTTCTCGCATCTCTCACCTTCATAGCCAATTAAACAGCTAAAAAAACAAAAACTGTTGGCAACAAAAAGAAACCAAGGCAAGAAAAAAAAAAGCAAGCGCCGAGAACTTACTTGCATTGTTTAGTCGTTCCTACGATTTCGCATGATCCTTCGTTGTAGCAGTAATCGGGCGTGCAAGTTTCTATTGGAGGGGAAACCACGCTTATTAAAACTTGCTAATCCACTTATTAAAGTTCAGTTGTATAGCTTACCTTCACATCGGCCAGATACTAGATTGAAGCCATCACTACATTTGCACACACGATTGTTGGGTATTAGCAGACAAAGTTGGTCACAAGGACTTTGTTCACAAGGATTGCGAACTGCAAAATAAAGTGTTTACACAAAATCTAGGTCAAAGAATAAAATGGAATATTTACCTCTTCGACGAAGCACAGGATGAAAAACAAGCAGTTGCCGCACTATGCTCCCACTCTGAGCGATGATGAGTGGATGTTCACAATTGAATTTGTTGCACCTGTAAATATGAGTCACCTCCCATTCAGACCAGTATAAGTAATCCTCGAACAATGACAGAGCGAAAGGAAGCTTTGCTTTCGAGGTCACAATCCGTCTGAAAACGAAAAAAAAAACTTTTAAATTCTTTTCCTACAAATTAAGAGTTAGTTAAAAAGAATTAACTTACAATTTGTCTCCGTTATAATCGACAGAAGAGATTACATCACGTTTAAATTCCACCCAGTATATGTGTTTTAACATTCGATCTACGGCAATGGCAGAGGGATTCACTACTTTGTGAGAAACTATTTCCCGATATTTGCTTCCATCCATATCCATTCTACTTATTGCATTAACAAGACCAATGAACATTATTCTGCAAAAACAATAAAAGTTAAGAAAAACGTCTTTACTTGCAAAAGTCTTGCTTTAAAAAAGTCTTACCCGTCGGTAGGCACGAGCGTGAACGTATTGATGTTTTCACCATCTAAGATTGTGGCGCAATAAGCTTTGTTGTTACAAACATGTATCGCGTAATCACAAACGTAGTAATAATTCAGTCCAACCCAATCGTAGGCTACTAGAATCACATTGTCCGAAGTATTAAGTAGTACGCCCATCGTAAGGTTTTTCAGGGAAAAATACATGATGGATTCCTGTCAAAAAAAAAAGTAGTAAATAAATTTAAGCGCACAAGCTCCAACATTCTTTCCGGAATTATTGGATCTACCACCTTTTCTGCATCACCCCAAATGATTACACTGTCGTCTTCTGAGTCTACGAAATCCATTCCCTTAATGTTGTGTATGTCCTTAACTAAGATGCTTTCGTGGTGATGCATCAAGTCTATAGATCTAATATCATTCCGAACTAACATAAACAACACCAAGATGCCTCCTGAAATGAAATAGGAATATTTACTCTTATGGAATTGAAAATCATATTAAAAATGCTATACCGATAGCTTTGCATTGTCCATTGTGTTGCAGCGAGTAGCCTTCGTAGCACGCGCACATGTAACTGCCTTTTGTATTAAGGCAGAACTGGCTACAAGAACCCAGTTGCTGACATTCGTCGACATCCGAACAGGACATTTTATCGGCGCCTAACTCGAAACCTTCATGACATTGACAGAATGGTCCTTCTGGTCCATGAACACAAATGTGGGCGCATCCATGGTTGTTCGAACCACACGTGTCCTTACAGTGATCTCCCTCGTCCGAGAAATCGTAACAATCTGCTTTTCCGTCACAAACTCTATCCAGGGTAATGCATGTACCGGACTGGCACCTAAACATGGTTTCTGGACAGGAAGAAACTAAAAAAACAATGATTAAGCTTCAGTCAACGTTACATGGTATGACATTAGAAAAAAGTGTGAAGAGGTAAAGTTCTTACATTTTAAGGGACTCAAAGTAGTAGTAGTTGCTGTTGTATGATGACATTGGGGAAGATCTTCGTCACTTCCGTCTGCGCAATCCGGGGAACCATCGCATTGCCAAGACAAAGGAATGCACTCACCCGAGTGACAAGAAAATTCAAAGTTTTCGCATTTTACGGCTGCAAAATGACAGAATAAAATTTGCAGCAAGCACGCGAAAGGAAGGCCCAGAGCAAAAGGGAAGAGATTAAAACTTACCGCAATCAAGTTCATCATCGCCATCAGGGCAGTCTTTTATTTTGTCACACCTATCTCTTTGATAAATACATGTTTTACCATCTTGGCATTTAAACTTGCCTTTCGGACAGCCGTGACCTGTGTTTATAAAATCAAAAATCATTTTATTATTAACGTCAAAATGGTAAACTGCGCTAAATACTTACTGCAATTAGTTTCATCTTCTCCGAGAAGACAGTCAT